GCGAAGAGGAAATCCTGTATGCATTTCAGCTGGACTTTGGTCTTTGCTCTCAATCTGGAGATTAAAGAGCTTTCCATCTGATCTAGTCCGGAGTTAGACATCTTCTGTTGCAGTTCCAAAGGCGTGCTTCAGCACGACAGCAAAAAAGATCCCAAACAGGGTTGAGGTGAGGACACAGCCGTGTTTCCCTCCACTTCAGATGTAAAAGGAATCTGATGTTGAACCATCAAAAAATACAGCCCCCTTCATTTCCTCATGAAGGGATCTGATGATGTTAAGGAGTGGAGGTGGACATCCAATCTTGGGAAGTATTTTGAAAAGGCCATCCCTGCTAACCAAATCAAAGGCCTTTGTAAGATCTATGAAGGCCACAAAGAGTGGCTGTTGTTGTTCCCTGCATTTCTCCTGCAACTGTCTGAGGGAAAATATCATGTCAGTGGTGGATCTATTAGCTCGAAATCTACACTGTGATTCTGGATAGACTCTGTCTGCAAGCACCTGGAGCCTCTTCAGCACAACACAGGCAAGCAGCTTCCCAACAACACTGAGAAGAGAGATGCCACGGTAGTTATTGCAGTCACCCCTGTCTCCTTTGTTCTTATACAATGTGACGATGTTTGCATCCTTCATGTCCTGTGGTATTCCACCTTCCCTCCAGCGGTGCAGTACCACAGGATATGAAAGATTCAAGGACTTCAGTGCTACCAGATATTTGCATGGAACCAAACTTCCACTCTACTCAAAGGAACTTATTTTCTTCAGGAAACGGCTTGCAGGGTTTTTGACCAGGGTGAATCCTTTGCCTGAGCCAGTTCATTGGTGCTGCTTCTGAATATTGTTTGATTCTTTACCACATTTACAATCAGCTTTTTCTCTGTGGTGCTTGGAAGTTATGGCCTTCTCCCTTTTTCTCACATAATCTCTCTCTTCCTCCTTTTTTTATGGTGATGATAATCTTATTTTTCTAAATCATTTTCATAGGGTGAGGTTCAGCCAGCATTTAGCACTTTTGAGCTCTATTAATTTCTGTCAGAGAATTTATTATTACTTTAGATGTCTATCATTAAATTGATTTGACATTAGCTTTGACCGAATTGGACTAATTGTTTGCTAAATCACAACACACAACCACAACCACACAACATTTTTAATTTTCTAGGACTTCAAGCACAGCACTTTGAATTCACTGGACTTTCAAGCCCTAAATGGTTTTATAACTAGCTTGCCCACTCTAATCCTGCCACAACATCTTTGGCTTTTAGAAATGGCATACTCCATATTTTATTGCCATCTGAAGTGTGATTGTTGAGCACACAGGATAAGGCATTCTTGGTGGTGGTGGCAGCAGTCAAACTATGGAACCTGCTAATTTAGCAGATTCACCCAGAAGGTTTCTCTCTCTGTGGTGAACAAGATTATCTATTAGAATAAAACAACTGACATCTTTTGTCCATAGGGGCATGTCCTTGTTTCACAGAACTGAGCTGACACACAAGGACAGAAGAATCTAGTATCCATGAAACAAGCATTTAAAAAACATTTTAACGGAATATATGGGAAAGTTACTTTTTGGGGGGTGAGAGTCCTCTCACTCCCTCACCTAGGATGGTCATGTTGATTGTGGGAACTATGGCAGTTGTCATTCAAAATGCAACTTGACCAAACTCTGCAAGTTCTTTTAATGGTAGCGTCCTCTGCAGCCAAGAACTGGTGGAAGCATTCATTTTCCAGGTCTGCAAAGTTCCTGCTGTTATTTCCACCATATTATGCACAACTACAAAGGCTGAAAATCTGGCAAGTTTAAGACCAAATTAGCATTTTGGGTTGCATGGAAAGATCCCTTATTTTAACACAAATACAACCTGAAATGGGGTTGATTTCAAGGAAGTGCTATACCCTACGAAGACTGAATACTCTCTCTGCGTGTGTGCATGTGATATGGGATAGACTTATCAAGCCACTGACTCTATTGCTTTTGTGGCAGAAAGGGCTAAACTCTGTCTAGGAGAAAAGAGTAATGTTGTCAGAAATGTGGTCTGTAAAGTTGAAATAAACTCTTGGAGAAGCCAATGGTACCACATCTCATCTAATAACAGTCTTCAGTGGCGGGGGGGGGAATGCATTTCATCAATCACTCATTTTGGAAACACTGCCCCCAGTGTGTGATTGCTTTCCTGGAAACACAAGCATATATTTTGCCATCTTATTGAGTTATGTATTTTAATTAGGATCAGCCCTACCATTAGGCAGAGTGAAACAGCACTGCTGGAGTACAAGTGTAACCCCTATGAGATATTGGTTTAGCTCAGGGTGGGACTAAGAAAGAGAGGGGCAGTAAGAGATTAGAATCAGAAAAAGCTAGAGAGCTGAAGAGGCTGGAACTGCTCTTTCCACTTACGACTAGTAAGGCCTTTGCCAATTTGGTCTAGGATTTTGAAAACTCAGCATGTGGAGCAGATTCTTTGAAGTTTTTCCTCACCCAACCAAGTGAGTAATAGATCTTGGATTTTTGTTTGAATTTGAAATTCAAAAGTACACTTGAACTTTGCAATTCTACAAACAACTTTTGTATCCATGCTGCTGCCAAGGACTTGGGTGTACACACTGTAGCATTTGGTTGTTATAATTACTCATATTGTCTGTTATACAGTATAACTAAAGATGAAGAGACACATTTATGTGAAACTGTGTTTGCAAACTTCATCAATAGTTATCTAAGTAAACAAACAGCCCCACCAGAACTTAATACATGTTATGCAAGGAGTTTTAGAGAGGTATTGGAAGGGGAGAGCCATGTATTTATCGTGCAGCATTCCCTTTGTCTTATTAGCTAGTAGAAGTCTAAGTATGTACACGGATTTCCTTGGGACACACCTTTACCTCAACAGGCTTATGTGAACAGCCATTTGTGGTGAAGTGGTTGGCCTTGGACTAGGACTCAGAGCATCCAAATTAAAATCTCCTCGGGAACAGCTTTCACACCACCTTGGGATCATGCTTATAACTCCAATTGTGGCTGGAACGTCACACTGCTTCCTGCCCCAATCTTTGGATTGCCTTTACCCAAAATGTTTAAATTAGCCAACATGGTACAAAAGTCAGCATGCCAACTTGGGTAAAGCCGGGTCCAAGTCTTCGTGATGAGACCATGACTTTCAGCAGATGACTTTGGGCTGCACTGTCACAGCCTGAGGTACCTCAGTGTTGTTATTGTGATGATAAAGTGGGGAGAAGGGGACTCCTGTACTCTACCATTGAGCTCACGAGAGGAAAGGCGAAACATCAGAGTAACAAATAATGTGAAAACAATCACTCTCTGTCCCTTTCATTGTGCGGACCCTCTTCCTGGGAACGCTGCAGGAAGATGATGACGGAGAGTCCGCCGCCGGCGCTTTAGGCCTGCCACCTCCACCGGCAGGTGATTCTATTAAATCGGGAGTAACTCAATGATCTAATCGCATCTCATGCCAATGGAGCAAGACTACCCTTCCCAGGCCGGCAGGCAAAAATCCAGGCGAGAACCATGAATCCTGCAGAGATGCAGCTTTCTCTGTGGATGGGAGGGTCGACCTCACTTTTGGGGGGTTAGATGGGGTGGGGGAGCACACAAAAAATGTCCCAAATTCAGGCGCCAGCATTTCCAGGCAGAGCTGGGAGAAATCCCGAGCTGAAACGTTGCGGAGAGCCATAGAAACCGGCCAGGATATTGACCTCCTGGGTTGTATTGGCAGCATTAAGCTTCCTAAACGCCTTGGGAGAGAGAAAAAGAAATGAGCTCATTTTTTTCGCCCCGTTTGGGTGGACCGCTGGCTTGCTCGTCGCGAAGGTCGGTCCGCAGTGACGGCATGTCACCTCCTTGGGAGAGAGGCGGGTTATTAATTTATTTTCCCACCCCAGCCCCAGCTTTTCCGCCGCTCGCCTCCGCCTGGCAGATGCCCTCCTCCCGC